GGGGCGAGCTCTGCCCGGGCGGCGGTTCCCGGGCTCCGTGCGCTCCCGCCCCGGGTTACTCGCCCAGGTCCGAGAGCCCAGGCTCCCCGCGAGGGAGGAATTTCCAAAGCCGAGCGTGGTCCTCAGCGCCAGTTTAGTGATGAGCAGGGGGTGGGTGGAGGGGGCGAGAGCGGTAATAACCCAAGGGGCTCGTGCCAGCTAGTGCTCCGTACTGCCGTGCTTCGCTTTGAGGAAAGCGGGTATTTATTTTGAATAACAGATCATAAGAGCACTCAGGTTTATGTTGTTAGTGCTTGAAGCACATATTTTCACTTCTTGAAAATTTGTCCTGTTCACTAACTCTTGGGGGAAAAAAAAAAACCAAACTCTCCACATGCTTAAAAGGAAACTAAGAACGAACAATTCCATAACTTCCAGGCTGACATTCATCATGAGAACAATTTTACCTTGATTACCAGTGGGTGAGCTCTCTGCCATTTCAATCCCGTAGAGCAAAACTGATACGCTGGAGTTGAAGCAGGAGTTGAAGCACTGATGCAGAAAGCCAGGAATATGACTGTAGTGGCTTTTTTCTCAGTAGTGTCTGTGAATCTTGAACACGTATTCAAGTCCGTTCACATATTGCAGCAGCAACTTTTGAAAAGTGCTTTTACTCAGTGTAATTTTTTTCTAGCTGGCAGGTTAATGTTACCTCATTGAATTCCCAGCCTCGTGCTCCATGTGTGAATTTGCTAATGAACGCTGACTCTTGCCACTGACTTTTATATGTCTGTAGAAGATTATCGAACCATATTAGTTTTGACCTTAGGTGCTGATTCAGTATCTCCCACTTCCTTCTCGCTCATCTTCCATTAACATCAAAAGGGATTAAGACATGGAAAACTGCATATTTTATGTGGAAACAGAGAAATAAGAGATAGAAACAAATTCTTATAATCTTTTATGGGTACAAATTAAGATAAAAATAAACATTTGAAATAGAGCAATGCTTAACAGGGGCACTACACGAGATAAATAAGTAACAAGAACAGTGTATTTGTCCATTTGTCCAGACAGTGCAATATAGGACAGTGTTTCTAGAATTTTAACAAACTAATACATAATTGCTTTCTAATAAAAATTCTAACCATTCTAATAAAAAAAATGCAGCTTATCTTTCTTTCTAACAAAGGTTTAAGGGACTAAAATGACAGATCAGTACCCAATCCTACTGAAAGTACCACCTGGAAATGCTACATTTATTACCAAAGTGTTTTCCATTTCCTGGTGATTTGCAATACTCAGTACAAGGGCTTTCCTGAGATCCAAAGTCAAAGCCACTGACAATAAATTGATCTACAAAAATTCATGTCCAAATAAAAGTGTATTTAAGAAAAATATTTGCAGTCGTTGCTCCTGAATGCAGTCCAAGATTACTTCTCTCTGCAACCCTTTTGTTACAGAATGAGGTGCAGAAAATGCCTTGTTAGATTAGATGCGTTCTGACTTCTCAGGCTAGGGCGAGGACGGAGCTGTTGCGGTCACCATTCGTGCTGGCAGCTGGATGTAAATTCACTGTCACCTTCCTCTTGTCAAACACTTCACTATAAAACAGAGCATCTTTACTGTGAAGGACTACCAGTGATATTCCAGTAATTCTTCGTTTCCACAGTGGTGGGAGACAACCTCAAATTAATGTGCTCAGATTTAAAATCCGTTGTAAAATCTAAGTAATACTTGTGGGGGCAAATTTTGGAGCACTGGCAGATCAGATTCATGGGCTTAAAAGTAGAAGGGGTCAAGGAGGGGAATCATTCCTAGTGTGTGAGGAAGCCTGGCTAACTCTAAGTGAGTTTGAAATGCTGTCATGAAGTGCTGGAATGGGCCATGCCAAGTGACTGCATAGCAGTAGGCAGCGTGTGTAAGAGTTGTTAAGGGGCTGATACTGAAGCACAGGCCATGCGAGGTGAACAGAGAGCTGTCACGATCCACGCAACTCTCATACTGTTACAGCAGAACCGGGCTGACCAAAGATCAGTATTTCCTGGTACCCCATATCCCATGTTAGCCAGTACCTTATGCTTATGGAAGAGTATAAGAACAGGAGAGGTGTTAAATATTTATCCAAATGTTTATATAAATACTTCTCTGAATGTTTATATGCTCTCTGAATCTGCCGCTGAGTATTTCTCAGACCACTCTGCTTTGTCACTTGGGCCCTTCCTTAGCCAGAGCTCATGTCACACTTGCTACGGCTTTATGTACAATGAAAGGACTGAGTAATTGTTCTGAATATCATCAGACAGGAAATTAAGCTAAAGTTATTGTAATTTTTGTATTTTTATTTTTAACTCTCGAAATAGCCATCCATAGCTCTGGTTATGCCTATAAGCCTATATTAAAGAATTTTTGTACTTTCTTAGTCTGTGGATTGAAACCTGAAGCTTCAAGGCATCTCACTAGTGTGATGCTTGTAAGAATGTGGTATAGCTCTGCATTAAGCATGGAACATATGGTACACTATTTTGAAAACCTTAATTATATAAACATGGATTAATTATGTGGAAGGAATTGCGCATGCCTTGGGTTATTGTACTGGGTCTGGGCTGGGTGGTGGGGATCAACCCTCCACAGTTTAGAAGTTTATTTTGTTTAGTCTCAATTTCCATTTGAGATCTCAATTTAAGTTTTACATTAAATTCCACTTTGATTAAAAGATACTGTTACTTTCTTTCTTTTGCACTAGAAGGGTTATCAGTTGGTAGCATTGTTCAGTTTCCTTAAAAAAATATTTAAAAATTAGCCAACACCATCAAATGTGCTAGTTAACTATACCTGCCTTTGGAAGCCAGGAGCATAGAGCACCCATCTTTCAGCACTTTGGAGTCTGATTTTCAAAGACGACTTCTCAACGCTTTTGAAAACTGAATCATAATGCTAACTTCAGTTGGACAATCGCAAACAGAAGCATTCAGATCACTAGTCAGTTCTGAAGATTATGAGTTGAGGGGCCATGAAAAATGTAAAAATGATGTGCCTAGGCTCCAGTCCTTTACTTATAGAAAGCTGCAACCCAAAACGGTGGCTTCAGTGCCAAGTTCATCACGTGTTTTCAAATAACAGTAATTCACAATAAAGATGCATGAGGATTTAGCAGTAAAAATATGTAGTCACTGCTAGTGAAAAGTCTGATGGACCCATGGTTTTGAGGGGTCCCCTCAATTCAAGTCAATCCTCTGAAGGTAAACAAGTCATTCTCTATCCTTTTCCAAGTAAAGAGATAAAAGAGTGTAACGTTTACATAACATTATATACTATTTATGTCTAAATATTTTTTAATAATCTCCTAAGAACACCAACAAGTGAAGAAGCAAAGATATTCTGTGAAGAAAATATTCTACTAAATTATTTATGGTGGATGGATATTTTTAGAATTCTAATTTGAAATGTATCCATTCTCTTTCTTTTGTAGGTGGCTGGTATTAGGTATTGCCATGGTGCGGTTTTATATACAGAAAGGAACACATAGAGGCTTATTCAGAAGCGTTCAAAAGACGCTTAAATTTTTCCAGACATTTGCTTTGCTTGAGGTAAATTTTAAACATCAGTTTGCTTTACTGGATGCTTCATATCATAGGCAAAACACGTTATTAACCTGAATTTAATATCAAAATATTATATTAGTACTTCAAGTCCTTTTGTCTTTATTATTTAATGAAGATTTTTTGGGGGGGGGCAAGGTGATTAGTTGAAACAAATGGGCACATTTTTTCAAACTTAATTCTAATATTGCTTTACAACAAATACTGCCTGGGAACTGCTTTGATTTGAGAGTCTTTAACTCAAAATGCAAAATCTCTGAAGGCATTCCAGCCAGCAGATCAGCCCTCTAGCTTAGTAGATACCTCGTCTCCCATCCCAGAGATGGTAGCTTCCTTCTTGTTCCTTATACTGGACACATCCTTCTGTGCCTTTCCTGCTTCTGCTTATTTCCAGGCTGGATTCACATGCCCCATATAATCCATTACAACAGAGTCTGTGCAAGTTGTGCAAAGTATTCTTTAAATAATACGACTTTTGCCAACTATGCACTAGTGGTCTCAGTTTATGGTACATCTATGGAATGAAACTGTTGGGTGTATTGAGCACTTACAGTTCTTTCCCAGGCACAACAAAGAGTGCCTATTTACATTTTAACTTTTTTTCTCAATCTGCCTACAACATCTATAGTTCAAGCAAGTATTAAAATCATGTGGCCAGCTGTATATAGGCTTTTATGCTATTAAACTTTCACAATAAGTAATTCTACTCAAATTTGTCAAAATAATGAAAAGCACTCTATTTGCTAGACGTTACTGACCAGAAAATACAATAAATCTGAAGCTTCATAGCTGTCATTGGCAAAATTATAATAATGTTATTAATCGGTAATGAATACAGAACATTTTACAATTGCTATGCGCTTAGCATCCCTTACATGAGTCCCTCCACACTGTCATGTAAAATTCTTCTTTGAATAAAAGATAATGGAAGGGAAGCTTACTAGTTGAAAAAAACAAGTGCTTTCTAAGTATCTAAATATGTAATACATGCAATTAATTAGGAAAGCAAATCCCTCTCATGTTTGCACAGATCAGATACTAAGCCCATCGCAGAAATACGCTAACGTGTATTTCTTTTAAAGACTGTTAGTTGGAGACAAAAAAACAGTTCTCCTTCAGAATTAAGCCCAGGTTTATATTAATATCAAAAGGCCATGTTTATAGTGTAGATAGTAGCATACTGTACATCAGTAACCTCTAACTTATTTTTATTTACAGGTAGTCCACTGTGCAGTTGGTGAGTTCTTTGTTTTAGTTTCTCCTGTAACTAATTAAAACACAAATTGTGGAACAGAGATAACATGTTTCTCTTTTTAAGGAATAGTTCGCACATCTGTGCTTGTGACTGGGGTCCAAGTGAGTTCAAGAATCTTCATGGTGTGGTTCATTGCACATAGTATAAAACAGGTATGTGTGTGAGCAAGTCATGTTTTGATTGTTTTTAAGGAGAAGCTATTAATACAGTTCTCCTTTCACCAGAAAGACCAATTTAAAAATTAATGACATTCCTACAGAGAATATTTACATACTGGAGTGCGATTTTGGAAGTTGGGGTTACAGCATGGAATTTATGTGCTTCTACCCAGGAGACTGGGTCTGGGTCTTAGCTGTGGATCAGCGCTGCCGTCGGCATCGTGCCAGCTGTGGTCTGCCTAAGTGAGATGAATGACTACCGCTATTATTTACCAGCAAATCTACCACAGTGTTACAGGTTCCCTTTCAAAAACTTAAATTAGCACTTATGGAATTAATCTAAATGAAAATATGTCTTAAATTGAATTTACCTGGATAAACATGGTTGTGATTTTGCAATTTGTTTTAGGAACCTTCTCAAGATTTTAATGTTATGGTAATGTTAACATTTGATGGCATGCATACTGCATTGTTTTCATTAAAAATATATCAAGTCACCCAGCATGCCACAGTGACGCTTAAGGTTCTGTATAAATGACAATAGTTTATTTGCCTGGCTGTAGGTGGTTATTGTAAGTCTAGTGATTCGTTAGCAGAATGAAATAAGCAGAGCGCTTACAGCTAGCAGATAGGACATTCAGTTCAGTTTCTGAGGTTTGCTTTCTGTGAAGGGCATGTAAGAATTAAGTGATAGATTTTGAGTCTGTGCTCCTGAATTTCTTTACTTGAAAAGCTGAGCCATTAAACTGTCTCACCAGCAGATGGCATATGCTTTTCTGCTGATGGGCTACGACAGCACCTGCCTCAGTTGTCAAATCCCTTTGTTTCAGTTCACAGAGAACTTGTTTTCTGTGCTTCATCTTTTCCTTTACTGTCGCTTTTCTTAACATGAAATAGGCTTTTCATAGATTTTTTTTTTTTTTGGTAAGCTAAGTGTTTTCATTTTTCCCTTAAGGGAAAATGTCTCAAAGATTAACAAGTTTTTTGTATTGAATGTTTACTTGAATGCTGGAATAAAGCACTGCATTTTGCCATTTTGTTATTATCTGCAGTGGAATAAATCTTTAGCATATCCAGTCATTTCTTTTGTTTCCTCTATCTTCAGTACAGTAGGTCAAGCTGTGTCCAAGAAAAAATACATCTGAATGTACATCTGATTGTATTTCACACTGTTATTGCTTAGCAGGCATGAATGGTCACTTTAGGTGGTGAGAGGCATCTTAGTGATAATAGCCAGACCCAGATCTCTTTACTTGACTGGAGATTTGCAAGGCAACAGATAGGAATTCTCTGCATACCTATTTAAAGCTCTTCTGCTTGGATTTAGCACTGTGACATGAATCCAAGTTTGGGTTATCAATGTTTGTCTCTAATTGCACGAGGCTAAGAACAGCCTAATTCTGTCTTTCCCTTTGCTTATTTGTTTGGATGTCTTTACACGTCAGTTGTTGCTATTTGTTTGTGAGTTTGGTGGTATTTTTATATCTCCTTTTGCGATGTTGGTGAGATCCTTTCACTAAAAGTGCACTTTCTTTGACTGACACATTGAGGGCACGATTTTATGAGATGATGTGTCAATTTTTCTTGACTTTTGACAGAGTTGTGCATTTTCAGCATCTTTGAGATGTATTAAGCTTTGTCACCATGTTGCATTTTATTAAAAAAAATAATTTCCCTTTTTTGTAATTTTAACAGAACTTGTGTTACTTTATTTTATTTCACAGACATCCCTGGAGCTTTTCAGCCTTCAGGCATGGAAGTGTATTACAAAATTCCTCCCCTTTTAAAGAAAAGAAAATTACTTGCGTGTAATTCTTCTTCTCAGAAGGTAGTGTTTGCAATAGATCCCCATGTGCCTTCTCTGTATTTGGGGATTTTTGTTTTGTTGTTCACTTAGAGTGAAAAAGATCCAATGTTTTGAAACAGCAGATAGGTGTGCTACCTACCGATGAGGCAGTTTAATGACTCAGAACAAATCTTAAACGGGATTGTTGAGTGAGTTTACCCAAAGCTCCTGATCTACCAACTACTCTTCATTTAGTGATCCATCTGTGTTCCAGCTCCTTAACTATCTTACAGCTCCCTGAAGTCTGCCAAATTTGATCTTCTGCAACTAAGTTCCAGTTACTAGATTATGCTCAGCAATTCCTTTTTTCTAAAGTTTCGTGGAGACGTGCATTATATGGTCAGGAAGAAGCATGATAAAAAGTAAGAGAAAGTCTAGGAGACAGAGGAGTGAAATGCAGAATGGGTAAAAACTGATTATGAAAGGAACATATCTTCTATGTTGTTTGGTTCTTGCTGTTTTGAGGAATAAGAAAATAAACAAATAAATCAACCACAACTAAAACCAGGGAGACAGCGTAGTGAAAATGCAGATAGAGAATAAAGAGGAGGAATAAGCTCAATTGTAGGGTTTTATATTTTGATAGTTGCATAATGGATAAAGATTACTCAGTTTGCAAAATGTCTGTATGTTAGTAAATACGTATGATAAAGAATTGTACATGGTAATGGTTTCAGCATATCACTTTTATGCCAAAATTTTCTTTCTTTACAAGATGTTAGTTCTGTTCCATGTACCTTAAACAGAAGTCTGTTGCAGTTCGCACAGAAAAGAAGCTTAAGGATGAAGAAAGTGTTGGTTCTTTATACTTCTGCAGATCCAGAATGAGGAGAGCGTTATTCTTTTTCTGGTCGTATGGACTGTGACAGAGATTACTCGATATTCCTTCTACACATTCAACCTGCTCAACCATTTGCCATACTTCATTAAATGGGCCAGGTGGAGATGTCTTGCACTTCAGCTTCTCATGGTTCTGTGCATGTTAGTTTCACGCATGCTGAGCTAACACACAGGAGAGCAGATGTTTGAGCTTTGGTTATGTGTCAGCAGACTGCAAGTCGGTTGCTTTCTGTACTTGGGATCATTGTTACTTGGTTTAAAATGTTAAAAATATTTTAGCTGACATTTTGGGGTGTGATTTGTTCTTTGCTTTCTGTGTCTCACAGTTTGAACTCTGCTTTAATTTACTTTAATTTTTTTTCTTTATCTTTGGAGTTATCTTTTAACTTACAGTATGACTCCTTAAGATGCTTTTGAATACAATGCCCAAAATTAAGCACCTATGCTAGTCTTTGTGGATTTCAGGTCTTTGAAAATGTGGGAGTTGTTGTCACTCAGTCTTACGCATATTAGTACTTTATGAGAAGTTCTGCTTTATCGGAGCTTTTTTAAGGTTATATTCATGTAATGAAGCTAAATATTGACTTAGTTTAGCCCACATAAAAAGTGTGTTCCATATCAAAGCTGCTTTGATTTTGAAGCATACTTAAGGTTGGCCACTAAATCTGATATATTACAGAGACTGCATGTTTATCAGGAGACTTAACTGGAAGCGTAGTATTCTCTGCAATCACTATTTGAAAAATACATGTAAGACAGACAGACTTACACTGTTCGAACGAAAATATCTTACCTATGTTCAGTGCAGAAGACTCTTATTTAAAAGAGTATGTTTGTTTATTTTCCTTTATTTTTGTTTTATAGATAATGCAGTTCTGATGCTTCTACTGCACTTCCTTGATATGTCTGATATTTATGTCCATTCTTATAATACATTATCTTTTTGCTAATACCTAAGGTGGTAGGCTTGGTTATGTTTAAGCACTAAATGGCAAACTTAAAAATAATCAGGTCTAGTTTCATTAATAATTTTTTGTGTAGGCTTCAGAAAGCGAAATGCATTCAAAAAGTACTACATTGACAGATACACTGACTTGATGGCAAAAAGTGTATCTTGAATGACAGAATTTTTGTTTCCTTATAATAAACAATAGGGAAAACTGACATTCTCACAGCAGAGATATATGGTGAAATATACAATACAGAAAACATTTGAAAATGTGTTGTCTTTTCATAGAGTCCAAAATATCCCATCAAGATTTATGGATAATTAAACAGCACAACTGGGCATTCAGTACTCCAAGGGAGCTGGAAATTTCTGATCTTTAGCTTGTAATTGTAAAAGATTTGCCTGTCCGTTGTTAATGGAATAGGTATGCTCTAAATTTTAGTTTGGGATTTTTACTTTGTTGGGTTGTTTTTTTTTTTTCACTGCATAGAGACAAACTGTGTGTAGGTCATGGCATCAGTTCCTTCTTATACCTCCCCTAACCTGTTCTCTGACCTGTGAGTCCTCTAAGCCCATTTGCTCCTAGGAGGGTTTCGTGTTTGGTTGCTGCTGTTTTGGATCTCACCTCTTTTGGTCATGGAGTGCACACTGTACCTTTCTCTCTGTGTGACAGCTCTCATTGTTGTTCCCTGCCTTAGGAGAAACTGCATCTCCATGGTGCACTATGCATAAGGACAGCACAAACCCTACGGATGACATTTTTCACTTTGTCCCCACCTATGTGGCCTATGGCATTCAAACCACATTTTCTTTAAACTGAATGCCTTCACCTTTTATTTGAACATCTTCCCATTTTAAAATGGATCTGATAAGTTTCTAGCACTTCCATTTTCTTTTATTTTAATTTCCATTTCCATAGTGGTAAATGTAGTATTATTTGGATTTCCCGCGTGGCAGTGGGTAAAACAGGCTTCTGATGTTTCTCAACATTTACGTTATTTTCAAAGAAATTATAATACATAGAACTGACCCAGTGTGCATGCACTGTGACAAAGATATGTAGGATCACCTGAATTTGGGATCCAGTCCTGGTCTGAATCCTGTCAGTGACAACAGGAGCAAGACTGGTAGATTTAAAAAAAAGACATTATTGGAAACTACAAATTTGTGGACTTTTTTACTCTTTAGTATTAGAAAGACATACAAACATTCTGATACTTCACTGTTTTTAAATAAAAGGACTGAGGAATGCATTCTCTGTAAACTTAAGCAGCGCTATAAAGTCCAAAGTAACTGAAACCAGTACTCTGTGCCAAGTCAGGATGTGGTCCTTGATTTTGGTGCAGAAGCTAGTGTAATACATTGCTGTGCCACTAATAATAGCAAGCGGAAATTTTAAATTCATGGGGTGTTTCTCACAAAGGTTTTTTTTTAATGCAGATACAACTTTTTTATCATTTTGTATCCTGCTGGAGTTGCAGGTGAACTGCTAACCATATATGCTGCTTTACCCTATGTGAAGAAAACAGGAATGTTTTCACTGAGACTTCCCAACAAATATAATGTCTCCTTTGACTACTATTACTTCCTTATTATTGTCATGTTCTCCTATGTGCCATGTAAGTATTACTTAACTGTAGTAACGCTAACAACGTAATAATCAATTATCAGCAATGCTGGAAACACTGCCTGTAGTTAAATTTGCTGAATGCTTTCTGCTATAGAAGCCTGCTTTCTGTTGTTGCAAGCTTTGCTGTGCTTTAATTGGTTAGACTGAAATTTTCCATCCTGTTATCTGCCTCAGAACATAAGCTGTTTTAAAAATTACAGTGAAAATGCTAAAAAAAAATTTCTAAGACTTGGACAAAGTAAAAAACCTTTTTGCTTACACACAGAAACGTCTATAACTGTGTTGCTGAGAATTTCTAGTGCCTCTGCCGCTTTGAAGCAATGGCTTAAAAATTGTCCTGCAAGTTGTGCCAGAGATTTGCCTTGGTTTTATTGCTATTAATATCCATTTATGTGTCACCTCTGAAAATCACCATTTGAGCATGCTCGGGAAAAACTTGAAGCAATATTCTCCAAGGTTTCATTTTCACAGAAATCATCCCCCAAAACCTCTCTGAACATACTTCTGTCCCTGGTTTAATCCTGGATACCAGAAGCTACAGGTCAATTGGCTAATCAGAGCTAAGATTAGAGAGACTATCCGTCTTGCACTTCCAGTGTTATTTCCACTGGTACCTCAGCAGTGTAGACAAGGAGAAAGCAACCTGATTCAGATATAGCACCATGAATGGAGACAGACCGAACTAGGCAAATAGAATATTTTAGATAGTCTGGACAGTGAGTCTAGAAAGAAGGCAAGAGATTAGGGAGAGGCATTGAGAAGCAGGAAAACTGAAGTTAAAAGGGCCTGTGATCTGCATCCATAAAAGGTATTCCTTTAAGAAGCTGACCTTAAACATGGACTTCCATAGTATGCACACACACTGTGAAATTTTTTGTCACAAGAAATCATGAAGGCCAACGAGAGAGATTTATATGATTAAAAAAATGTCCTAAGCTATCATAACTCACTAACAGTTTTACAATTGTTTATATAATTTAATGCCTCAGGAAGAAATCCGATTTTCTATCCATTAAATATAAGGATCAAATGTATCAGCAGGACAGTAATATAATACATCTCAGAGGGCTGGGGGAGAGGGAGATCTTCAGTTCGGACTCGAACAAGTAGGGTAAATTTGTATCTTCCTCAAAGTCTTAATTCAAACATACTTATCTTAGCACAAATTTGAAGACTTCAGGCACTGCTGGAAAGTGGTTAAGTCCTATTTATACAAACAAAGTGTTGGAGGGAGGTTCCTTGAATACAGGGTATACATTCAGGGGGCCTTGTCTGACTTTTGAGTAATTATTGTTTTGTAATTCACTGCAGTGTTCATGACTTGCTATTATTTACCTTAACCAACTGCAGCACTGTGTGCTGTAATTTTTCCTCAGTTCATCATTCTGCAAAATTGTATTTTTCCGTTATGTGATCTGTTGAATTTTTTTCATCTAATTTGCTTTCTTTTATGCTTCGATCAAGTATTTCCACAACTCTACTTCCACATGCTGCGGCAGAGAAGAAGAGTGCTTCATGGAGAAGTGATTGTGGAAAAGGACGATTGAATCAAGCCGTTTAACTATGGTGCTTTTAATGGAAAAAAAGAGGGTAAAGAAACAAAACTTCCTGTGATTTTACTGAGTCCAAGTTTTAAAGCATGGAACAAGAATAAACAACTGTGCATAAAGTAGCATGGATTGCATTATTTTTACAATTAACACATCTTCAGACTTACCTTTTCATCCTTGGTTTCACTTTGATTTTTAATTGTTCATTTCTTCAGACAAATTATTTTCTTATTTTCAATAGGCTGACAAATAGCTTTAAGAATTGGAATAGTTGGCTACTGTGCCTTCTATTCTGAAAGTTCTGTTATGACCTGTAGTCATCATCAAGAACAGGAGAGTTGATAAGTTGTACTTAGAGTGAGTCTTCTGGAAAACAGAGTATAAATTAGGTAATGATGTTTTTTGTGGACTAGGTGGCTTAAATGTTATTTAAGCTTTGTATTAAATAATACCTTTCCAGTTAAAAGTACTGTTAGCATGTTGTTCAACATTCTTTGACTTACAGGATCACACTGTAGAATTCCAGAAGGATTTTTGAAAGGAGCTGAATTCTTGATTGTCGGTGCAAATTTCGATCTCTCTATTTTCATTTGTAATTTTAAAGATATGTAGAATAATAGGTATAATATTAACTGGTTAAAAGTTTGTGCTGAGGAGTAGACTTGATGTGCCTACCTTTCTCTGATCAGTGGCTGGAATGGGACTTGTTCGCAGAGGAAGACTGTTGGTCAGTGTATTTCCTATTCTACATTTAATTATGTATGCAGAGAAATTATGGTATTGCATTTAGAAACTGTAGCTATAGTGAGATATTTAACTTCTTATAAATAGCTATATTTGAAATAGTGTCTTAAAATATAACTTGTGCTTTAAATCATCCCATTGTGCAATTTTAATTGCTCCCTCCCCATTAATTGTTTATACTGTGTTGACCCAATTCTATTTAATGACTTCAGTAATCTGCAAGAGCGATCTACAGTATATTAATAAAAGTTACAGATGATATTACACTATACGATACCTAAGTGGGAGAGGTCCAACAGATGGATTAAATGTAGACAAGAATTAGATGCAGCCTAAGAGATTCAGAGAAAAGGTAATGCATTTGAGGAAACTTGGATACTTAGTGAGAGAGAGAGAAGATTGAAACATAATAATGTAGTAAGAAGCCTTGATAATGTAGGCAACAAAGTTGCTTCTGGCATCACTAATGTCAAAAGAAGAGTATATATGCAGAAGAGCTGCATTAGGCAGCTGGAAATCAGAATACTCCTTGTGATTGCTGGGGTAATTTCTGGAGTATGGTCTTATATTTTGGATACCTCAAGGGTGAGGAACTGAGTCAATCTTCTGAAAAGTCAGAGAGCAGTAACAAAATTAGTTGAAGTGAGAAAGAAGTCGGAAAGATTGAGTCGTTAAGTATATATAATTTTTTGTTACGTGACAAATACGTGTACAGGAAGAGGCTTTCTAAGTATGAAGGTGTGATTATATAAATTTGAAACAAGGTAAATATCCAGTAAATATCAGGAGAAAGAACCTACCAAAGAGATCAGTTAGGTTATGGAATGACACAGTAGTGCTTATCAAGGCATCCAAGTTTTTGGAAGGTTTTAAGTTAAATGTAATGAAATAGTTGAAAATAATCTTCCTTTGCAAGAGTTTGAACTACATACTTGAATAGGCAGTTTCCATTTTTAGCTTCAGTGATTCTGTGATAATACAGCTTTTTTGAAAATTGTAGATACACCTTTTTCTGGTGTACCAGGTAATTTGATGAAAAAGCAAGGATTTACTACATCCCTAACTTTCAAATTCCATTTTGTGCCTTAAATTTGTGATATTTATGCATGTCTTCATTACATGTAAATTAGTTTCCTTTTAAATGACAGGTGCATAGTGGACTTGAAATAGAATAGTTGAATTTCTTTACAATTTTAAAAGGTGTAATCTTTGTATTTTTTAGAACAAATTTCACGCAAGGTGCTATAATTTAACTTTTTACTTCTCTGTTTTATATGCAGCTAAAATTATGAAAAGTTTAAAATATAAACTACATTTACAACACTGAATCACAAAATAATTGTGTTACACATGTTCAGACTAGCAGTTCTATTTGTCCGAAGTTCAGAGTACTGTTTTATAAACTTCACTTGCTTTTTGATCCTTTTTAGAAATATTTCTCAGTTAGCAAGCAGAGGAGTGTGATGAAGTATAAGTAATTAAGATTAGGTTAAGTTCTGTGTCTCTTTTTTTATTGTCAGGGCAGCTCACCGAAGACCATAGCTATCAATTCATTGGAAATGCATTGCATACTTTAAGGATGTGATTTCAAAATCAGATGAGTGTATCCCACAGATACTATTCCTGTAATAAAAGGAATACCTGCACTATAATACTGTATTATATTTGTTTTCATCGTGGCTTAAGGATATTATCATATGTCAATCAAGGAGCTATTTTTATATCCTTTTGTACATGTGACATGAAAAAAATACAGTACTGTTTGCTAAAATCTTGGGTTTGCACTTTCATAAAGCAACAGCGTACAAGGTAATGATACAATTTTGAAAGCGATTTACAGCTACAGAAGAGTCTTGCTGAATGATAAATGAATAAAAACAAAGCTAAAAATTACTTACAGTATTGCATTCAGTGTTTGATAGGCCAGAGAGGTTGCTGTGTAGATTAGTTTACATGGCATGTACTTCAAAAAAAACCAAGCAATATGTTCTTTTCTTCCTCTTCTTTTTTGATTGAAGCCTTTCACTGAAGCCTCCACGTATACCTTTTGTTTTAATATCTTCTCAAAGATAGTGAGAATTGCAGGTAAAAGCCTCTTACCATTGACTTCAGATGGGCCAGGATTTTATCCTAGGTAGCTTACCTAAACTTCAGTATGACATTGTGAAACATTTAATTAGCTTGTTTAATGGACATAAAAAGTTAAGTATGATTTTCATATGGTGCTCTTTCCAACTTCTTTTTGACACCTGTCTTTTTTGTCTTCTTCTCTGCAATATTCCTAGTTTTCTAAAGCATTGAAATCCTCTTGTTTATGAAAGATTAGGAGTGTATTCAAGCATCATCGTCTTTAATGTTTTGATGTAGTCTTTAACAAATTGTTTCTATAAAGGTGTTTTCTTACTTGTGCTATATATGCCTTCTGGAACGGGTGAATATAGAGTTTGACCTTATGAAGCTTTTTTAATGACAATACATAGAAATAGGCATTTGGAAGGAGATGCCTATTGATCAGGTGACATTTCCTGCTCTTGGTAGTAACATAAACACACCGTCCTTTTTATAAACTCCGGCTGAAAGCAGTTGGATTTCTTGAGGTTCCCCCCAACACTCACACGCTGTTCCCACTGGGAAGGGCTGTTGCAGGACAGATTGGGTGAATCACCTTGTTTCACAGCTCTGCCTAGAATGTCTAGAGACCAGATCCTGGCCTCAGGGCATGGGCAGTACAAAGGAATATGACGCTGAGAAATTGCGTCTTCCACATTAGCTGCCAAGAGGGTCTCTGAGGCCATTGTGAGCAGTAGTTGACAGCCATCATTTCGCTCACCTCTCACTACACAGGCTGTGAGAAGAGAGGCAGCTCAACATGCTCTCATACCATCTGCGTTAGGGAGCTCATGAGGTCAGCTGGGAGCATCTCTGTGCACAAAGGGTGTGTTACAGAAAGGGCTTTTCCACCCCACTCGGCTATCTTGTTACTATCTATAAGCCTGTATTTCTTGAAATACTGGTATGCCAAGATAGCTATGCCACACTGCTCTCGATGGTATAGTTCAAAATTAACAGCCTTGGAGCAATGGTGCAGTGTGCTGCTTCTAATTCCCGTTGAACATAACATTTAGCCAGGTTCATGTTAATGGACACATGGCAATGACCAGTTAACAGGTAGATGCACGGAGACCTTCTCTGTGACCAGAGGGAACCTACCTTTTCTTATCCAGAAAGAAGTATGTGCATTTTAAATCTAGGTCTAGCTAATGCTCTGATTGTGGTACTTGCACTCTTCACAGTAGCTTACTTTAGTGGATATTTGGATATTTATATGATTACTAAATAAACTAGAATGAAAACAAATTACAAACTTTATAAAAAATTATAATTTAAGGTAGTTGCTGTATTAACAGTTTTTGTGAATTCAGCTCTTACTTAATCTGCCTTAGAAAAAAAAAAAGGAAGGAAAATTAATACAAATAAGTGTTCTGCACTAGGCAGAAGGGCTTCATAAATCAAAATTTTCAGGCAGGCAAACTGGCTGCAGTTGTTTATAAAGAATTGTTTAAATGTGGTTTTGAACAAAAAGGTTGAAAGCTTTTCAGAAAATTAAATTTTATTTCATAATGCATACTTTAAAATGTGCTCAGAGATACTGTATTATTTATTACCAGTTTACAATTTAAATTCATGCTGACCATACACTTTTTATAGATGATTAACTGTAGCCCATTAAAATGTTTTATTCTATATTTGTTAGGATGACTGTTTAAGAAGCAAACACCTCATGTTTCTGCAAAGCTCTGTGTTCTCTTGCTCAACTGAGTTGCAGTATTGTTAGTGCCTGCTGAGCTTTAGCAGGCTGTTAAAGTGGCAGGTTAATATTTGCCAAGGATAGCTCCTTACACTTGCTTTCATGACGGCAGACTTTAATAGCGGGTGGTACTCTTGGTTCAGTGTCTGGTACTGTACGCCACTGATGCCGTTCTAGGGGTCTTGAGTGCCTTCAGTAGGACTGAAGGCTTTACAGATGTCGGTAAGTGATTCATCCTTATGCATTACCACATTGAGAAGACCTGTCTTGTGAACTCTTAGGTCATGAAAGTGAGTAAGTCTGACAAGTGAACTTAAGGCTGTACCAAGACAAACTGTGGAGAACCTGCATGATGGGTAACTCTAGCCCTCTCATAGGAACTTGCTGTCAAGTTCAGGCCTGCAACTCGTAGTGGCTTTCAAGTTCTAAAATGTACAGTACGTTCTGTGTCATGTTGTATCAACTTAAACATGTTGTCTTTTTATTCACAGCTCTCTTGCTTCTCTGTTCAGTCTTGAATGTATTTTATGTCCTTTCAGTTGATGGCTTTGTAAAAGTGTAAGTACAGA